GAAAGGAAGCCCTTGAGATACTCAACGGGGAAGCACAACTCCTTGTCCCTTCCATCTGCTGCTGGGTGCCGTCCTCTTTGTCTCGCGTGAGGGGGGAAAAAGGAGGGAGGCGTCCGGCGTTGGAGGCCCACAGAGTTCCTGAAAGTGACTCTCTGGCGCGCGGGAGCGGAGGCTGTGCGTGAAAGGACGGTTCTTCGTTGTACGTGTTTTTATAGCTCAGGGTCGCGTTGGCTGTAGCGGCCGGCGGGCGGGTGGGGAAGGTCCGTGCTTTGGAACCCCCCCACTTTCTGTTCGGGTCTCGTTTTGGAAAAGAGGCGATGGCGGGGGAGATGAAGGTGCATTTTATTTGAGCCGCAGGAAGCCCGAGCCTTGTTGGAAATCAACTTTTGTTCTTGAAATCCACGTGGGGGAAGGGTTCAAAATTCTGTGAAAGTGGAACTACGCGATAGCCGCGCGCGCGCACAGTATAGGCACACTTGATCGCTTTATTGATTTTTTTTTCATGGAAAGGTAACCTTAACTCTGTTACGTGATTATTTCTGCATATAATTTTAATCATAATTCATTAGCTGTCAGGTCCGTGCCCGTTCGTTTGGACACTCTGGGTAGTGGTAGAAAGTGTTGTGTGCGGGTGGTAGGACGCAACGTCTCCTTTTTCTGCTTTTAGTCTTGATAGCGCGGGTGTACCTATTGTGTCTTAATATCCTGCATTTGGTGGTTTACCCAATGTTGTCACTCAGATAATACATAATGTATTTTACTTAGATGGAGTAAATATAGATCAGTCTTCCCCAGCCTGTTGCCTCCCAAATGGAACTATGATTTTCAAAATTCCTGGCTTGTTTGAAGTTGTAGTTCCGAATTTCTGGAAGTTACAATTCCAGTCACATCTGGAAGACTCCAGTTTAGGGAAGGCGGGTGCAGATGATGGGTTTCAGAGAATTGATTTTTCTTTTTTATAGTGGTTCAGGAACTTGCAACGTGTGTTGGACCCAAGTATATAATAGGACCAAAAAAATTTTTTTTATTCTATGACAGACTTTAAAATATGGGCAGTGATGAATGCCCAAATTGGAAAAAGGGTGATTCCTTTTGTTAATATTCTCATTCTGAAATGTAAAAGTTAGGAGAGGCTGTTTTATTCATCTTTAATGTGTAGGTTTGCTTTCTGAATTCTAACATAGTATTTTGGTTCTGTTTGCACAGACTGATAATCTGTGTTAACTGAACTAAATTAGCTGTGTTTGTACCTGAGTCAAAAACTAGCTAACCATATAAAGTGTAGCATGCTATGCAATCTCAGCCTTTGAAATATAAAGTTGAAAACACTGAAACATGTAATAAATCCCATTGTCAAGATGTCATATTAGATTGCATGAGGTATTTCTACATTAAGATTTTCATAAATTTATTTGCACTGATGTGCTCGGGAGACTGAATCAATGTCAAAACTCCAGAGAAGTGTGCCTTCAGTTTATGTTTGCAACTTTCTGATTGCTCTGATCAGCATATACAAGTATTCCTCAGTTATCAACCACAGTTGGGACAGGCAACTCTGTTGCTAAGTGGCATGGTCATTAAGCGTGATGTCATGTGACTGCACCAACTTATTTTTTTTAATAATATTTTATTAAGATTTTAAAGATACATATTTAAAAGTTAGAAATG